CGACCGGACCATCCGATGGGGAACCGGATCATCCGGATCATCCCGGGTCGGGAACCGATCGACAGGACCATCCGGGTGGAGAAACCGGACTCAACCGTACCATCCCCGTGGGGGACCGGAACCCAACCGGACCATCCGGGTGAGGTGCCGGGTCGGGAACCGACCGACCGGACCATCCGGGTGGGGAGCCGGATCAACCGGGTCATCCGGGTGGGGAACCGGATCAAACCGGGTCATCCGGGTGGGGAACCGGATCGACCGGGTGGGAAACCGGACCAACCGGACCGACCGGGACCATCCGGGTGGGGGAACCGGACCCGGCCGGACCATCCGGTGGGGTACCGGGTCAGGAACCGGACTGGGAACCGGATCATCCGGGTCATCCGGATGGGGAACCGTATCATCCGGGTCAATCCGGGTGGAGAACCGGATCAACCGGACCATCCGGTTGGGGTACCGGGTGGGAACCGGACCAACCGGACAGGGAACCGAAGACGGGAAGCCGGATCATCCGGGTCATCCGTATGGGGAATTGGATCGACCGGGTGATCCGGGTGGGGAACCGGATCAGCCGGGCAAGCCCGATGGGGAACCGGGTGGGGAACGGACCAGCCGGGTAGGGTAACCGGGCGTGGAACCGGACCATCCGGTCATCCGGTGTGGGATCCGGATCGACCGGGTCATCCGGGTGGGGAACCGGACCAACCGGACCATCCGGGGGGGGAACCGGGTCGGGAACCGGATCAACCCGACCATCCGGTTGGGGAGCCGGACCAATCGGACCGTCCGGGTGGGGAGCCGAATCGACCGGGTGGGAAATCGGACCAACCGGGTGGGGAACCGGACCAACCGGACCATCCGGGTGGGGAACCGGGTCGGGAACCGGATCAACCCGACCATCCGGTTGGGAACCGGACCAATCGGACCGTCCGGGTGGGGAGCCGAATCGACCGGGTGGGAAATCGGACCAACCGGGTGGGGAACCGGACCAACCGGACCATCCGGGTGGGGAACCGGGTCGGGAACCGGATCAACCCGACCATCCGGTTGGGGAACCGGACCAATCGGACCGTCCGGGTGGGGAGCCGAATCGACCGGGTGGGAAATCGGACCAACCGGGTGGGGAACCGGACCAACCGGACCATCCGGGTGGGGAACCGGGTCGGGAACCGGATCAACCCGACCATCCGGTTGGGGAACCGGACCAATCGGACCGTCCGGGTGGGGAGCCGAATCGACCGGGTGGGAAATCGGACCAACCGGTGGGGAACCCGGTGCGGTTTCCGGGGGGGGAGGGTCGGGAGCCGGGTCAACCGGACCATCCGGACGGGGAACCGGATGATCCGGGTGGTCCGGGTGGGGAAGCGGACCAACCGGACCAACCGGTGCGGTACCCCGGTGGAAACCGGACCAAACGGGTGGGGAACCGGGTGGGGTACCGGGTCGGGGAACCGGATCAACCGGACCATCCGGACGGGGAACCGGATCATCCGGGTGGTCCGGGTGGGGTGCCAAATCGACCGTGCGGGGAGTCGGACCAGCCGGACCATCCGGGTGGGGTACCGGGTCGGGAACCGGATCAACCGGACCATCCGGATGGGGAACCGGATCATCCGGGAAGGGAACCGGATCGACCGGGTCTAGGGTGGGAACCGGACCATCCGGGTCGGTCGGGTCGGAACCCGGATCCGGAACCGGGTGTTGAACCGTATCAACCGGATGGGAGCCGGATGGACCCAATCGGACGGACAAGCCGGACCGAAAACGGGTGGGAACCGGATCGGAACCGGGTGGAGAGCCGAATGGGCCGGTTCGGTCGGATCAACCGGGCCGGAAACGGGTGGGTAACCGGATCAACCGCCCCAGCCGGGTGAGGGATCGGGTCGACCCGGTAGGGAGCCGGATCGACCGGATCGGAACCGGTTGGGAAACCGGATTCACCGGACCGACCGGATCGACCGGATCAACCGGGTGGGGAGCCGGGTCAACCGGACGGGGAACCGGATGGACCGGACCAGCCGGATCATCCGGGTTGGAGCCGGGCGGGGAACAGGATCAACCGGTTGAGCCGGGTCGATGGATCCGGATCCCACCACCCTAGGCGGGATGGATCCGGGTCGCACCCCCCCGGTTGGGATGGATCCCGATCACCCCTCTCGGGATGGGATGGATCCGGATCTCACCACCCTGGACGGGATGGATCCGGATAACCCCGCCGGGGGGTTGGGATGGATCCGGATCACACCACCCTGGATGGGATGGATACGGATCGCACCTCCCCGGTGGGGATTGATCCGGTTCGAAACACCGCGGGTGGGATGGGTCCGGTCCGAACCACCCTGGAAGGGATGGATCCGGACCGGGCCACCGTGGATGGGACGGGTCCGGTTCTTTGACGGCTCCCGGGTGGGTGTGGGTCCTTGGACGGGCCCACACCCTCCCTAGAGCCCTTTATTCTTTGGGTCACACCTTCGTTCTCGACCGGGGTTCTTTGCGGGCTCTAGGGTGGGTGTGGGTCCTTGCACGGACCCCTACCTTCCCTACCGGGTCGGGAACCGGATCGACCGGACCATCCGGACGGGGAACCGGATCATCCGGGTCATCCCGGAAGGGAACCGGATCGACCGGGTCTAGGTTAGGGAACCGGACCATCCGGGTGGGGAACCGGGTCCGGTACCGGGTCGGGAACCGGATCGACCGGGTCTAGGGTAGGAAGCCGGACCATCCGGGTGGGGAACCGGATCGACCGGGTCTAGGGCAGGAAGCCGGACCATCCGGGTGGGGAACCGGGTCCGGTGCCGGATCGACCGGGTCTAGGGTAGGAAGCCGGACCATCCGGGTGGGGAACCGGGTCGGCCAACCGGGTCGGGTACCGGATCGACCGGATCTAGGGTAGGAAGCCGGACCGTCCGGGTGGGGAAGCGGGTCGGGTACCAGGTCTAGGGTAGGAAGCGGGACCATCCGGGTGGGGAACCGGGTCGGGTACCGGGTCGGAAACCGGATCGACCGGACCAACCGGATGGGGAACCGGATCATCCGGATCATCCGCATGGGGTGCCGAACCGACCGTGTCGGGAGTCGGACCAACCGGGTGGGGTACCGGGTCGGGAACCGGATCGACCGGACCATCCGACCGGGAACCGGATCATCCGGGTCATCCGGGAAGGGAACCAGATCTAGGTTAGGGAACCGGACCATCCGGGTGGGGAACCGGGTCGGGTACCGGGTCGGGAACCGGATCGATCGGGTCTAGGGTAGGAAGCGGGACCATCCGGGTGGGGAGCCGGGTCGGGTACCGGGTCGGGAACCGGATCGACGGGATCTAGGGTAGGAAGCCGAACCATCCGGGTGGGGAACCGGGTCGGGTACCGGACCGGGAACCGGATCCACCGGACCAACCGGATGGGGAACCGGATCATCCGGATCATCCGCATGGGGTGCCGAACCGACCGTGTCGGGAGTCGGACCAACCGGGTGGGGTACCGGTCGGGAACCGGATCGACCGGACCATCCGACCGGGGAACCGGATCATCCGGGTCATCCGGGAAGGGAACCGGATCTAGGTTAGGGAACCGGACCATCCGGGTGGGGAACCGGGTCCGGTACCTACGGGTCGGGAACCGGATCGACCGGGTCTAGGGTAGGAAGCCGGACCATCCGGGTGGGGAGCCGGGTCCGGTACCGGGTCGGGTACCGGACCGACCGGGTCTAGGGTAGGAAGCCGGACCATCCGGGTGGGGAACCGGGTCCGGGTACCGGGTCGGGATCGACCGGATCTCGGGTAGGAAGCCGTACCATCCGGGTGGGGAACCGGGTCGGGTACCGGGTCGGGAACCGGATCGACCGGGTCAGGGTGGGGAACCGGACCATCCGGGTGGGGAGCCGGGTCGGGTACCGA